GGAGGAGGAGGAGGAGGAGGAGGGGGGGATGCCACAGCCTTCCAGTAACTGTCTCTCCTCCAAAATATCACTTTTGCTTTCTTTGAAGACAAGAAAGAAATGATATTAAGAAAAAAACCAACCCAAAACAACAAACCAACACCAGGAACTGCACCAATGTGTTTGCCTTAACAATAACTGTACATCTGCAACAGTTTATCACTATGGGAAAATGAGTGGGTAATAAAGTTTTGATGTCGGCTGTTGCATGTACAGAGGTATCACAGGCTTTGAAAATGATTTGTTATGTGAATGCCCATAGTAGCACCGAGGTTCAAAGGGGGGTGGTTTGTTTTTCGTGCCCATTTAGTTATGAATAACACCAGCTCTAATTTCCTCCTCCCACCAGCTAGCAGAGAGTCCTGCATTGGAAGCCAAATATAGCAACAAAGATTTCTATCTCTGGCCAAAACCAAAAAATCTGTTCCCTCTTAAGAATAGCACTCTATTCTTTTCTGATGGAGAAGGATAAAGAGAAAATTCAGCTTTAAGGAAGCCAGTTTCTCAGTGGGAAACTCCCTGGTCTCTCTCAAATGGCCAATGTAAAAGGTATGCACTTATTTTTTGGCATCTGTGTAGAAGCCAGTGAGGAGGCTTCTGTAGAATGCCATCAGTAAAGCCCTTTTGGGGTTTTGGGCAGTCTGGATAAATCTCCCCTACTTGCTGGTGTGTCTCTCCTGCACTGCCCTGTCTGTCTTGTGAGCAGCAGGGCCCATTCTGAATGGGAATGCCACCAACTGCACAACCACCCCTGCTCACTCTGCATCCTTTTCTTTTGTGGAGAAGCTAATTTGCTTTTGTGGTTTGCTTTTGTGGAGAATTTGATCCCTCGGCTCTGAGGGACAGACCCTCGCTCCACCTGACAAGGCAGCTTGACAAGGTAATGTGGAGCAGCAGTCAGCCCAAGATCCCTCCTTGGTTACCCCCTCGGTTTTCCAACTGGGGAAGGACGTGGGAAGTCATCCCTCTGCTCTTTCCCAGGATTTCCCAGTTGTGTTGTGCCCTCAGAGTCCATGTGGGCAGTGGCACTGCCCAGGCCCCTGCCTGGCTGGATGGGCTGGGAGAGAAAGGGTGTTGTACAGAGAAAAAGCAGAAATGTTTGTGGTAAAGCGCTTCCTCAGGTGCTGATCTGACCTTTTCTGGATGGGAAAAGGTAATAATTTCTTTTATGCTCCCTGGAGATGAGTGGCTGTCCCTGCCTGTTTGTAAGATAGGATAGGATTTGGGATGAGGAGGAAGCACACACCTACACCCACACCCTCTTTCTGATCTTGAACTCGTATTTTTTTAATTTCTCTGCACCATCTGAGGAGGGCTATTCAGCCTTTCCTTCGAAGGATTTATTCCCATTCCAGCCCACCCCCACCACCCACCCATAAGCAACTGGCATGTGTGACATGTGAGCAGAAAAAGCCCTTTCTCTAATGTAGCAGCTGTCCTTGTTTTAGAAGTGTTGCTTCATTCATTTGCAGACTGTTTGGCTGAGGGCCTTTGCTGTAAGGTGAATGCTGAGGGATTACAGAGTTAACTCTTCCTCATTTGGAAAACTGTGACTTTTCTTCTTTCTTTTTTTATTTTATTTTTTTTTTTTTTTTTTTGAGCTTTGGACCCCTAATGCATTTTGAAAACAATGCAGGGAACTGTCATCCAGTAAATATATTTGCACTGGATCTGTTTTACCAGACATGTTTCTGATGGAGTTTTAAATAAACACAAGGATGTTTGGAAATATCTTGTGTATGTAAATATGTAAAATATGCAAAACAAAGCTGACAGCTGTGGAGTGTACCCATTGCTCACGTGAGGAGGCTTTGTGTAATGTTTTCTTCTATCATCCTCTCTTTTTTTTTTTAAGCATCTGTGTCTGTTCCAAGAAAATCTGTGATTCCCACAGGACAGAGAGGGAGGAGGTTGGATGGGCCGGAGTGATTCCCCTGAAATCTGCCTGAAATCCTGTCAAGAACCTCCTGGTGAACAGTGGAACTGCTTTCCACAGAGCACCTGAGTGCAGGACACAGGAATCCCTTCTCACTGGAGCTGGGCCAGGGCTGGGTCTGGATGAGCTTGGCCCTGCAGGAGGGGCAGTGGGAGAGCAGGGCTGTCCTTGGGCAGTGCTGCGTATGGAGTGACAGCAGCATTAGTCACCAGGGCACAGAGCTCAGTTTCCTCAGCTCAATCTGTTGCTTAGGAGAGGACGACACTTCAGCAACCTCAATTTAGTCTTTATTTAGCCAGAGTTGAAGCCTACATGTCAGGCTTAGGGAGAACTGCAGTGAGAGGAAAAAATAAAATCACTGAAACTCTTAACTTCTTTTTTTTTTTTAAATTGAGCATTTGCTGCTTTTTAGACACCCTTCCAGAGGGTAATTCATCCTCTATGCGTAGTAACTGTACCACTTCCAAGTTCTGCAGGATATTTGGTGTGACTTAGCCACCTGTTGTTTTCACTGATTTTTTTCCACCTCTTTCCTTGCTCTTGTTTTCCAGTCCCACTGCTTTAAGGGCAGTGTTCCAAGCTCCTGGCTGTCTGGCAGTGTGGATGTCCAGGCCCATGGGGCAGCAGCTCTCTGTCACATTTCTGTGTGCACACTGAGTTTCTCCTGCCCATCAGCCGGGACATTTGGATGTGCAGATGCCCAAAGGTGCAGAACAAGTGCAAGCTCCTTCTGTTTGCTTGGTGGTTTCAGTCACAAGAAATGGAAGAGTTTGGCAGCAGCCTGGGTCAAGGACAAA